TACCAGGATTCATTATTGGCGGCCACAATCTTAACACCATAAAATATTCAGATGACCCAGAAGGCACAGAAAAGAAACTCCAAAAACTCCTAAAGACAGTGAAGGAGTACATTTGTTATCTACCAAACAACATTTTACTTCCCCTGTTATTCAATCATCTCAATTGTATCCCATCTCTTCATCTGTTTTTTTCTGATCTATGCTGAGCACTTAATCTTTAGAGTTATCTGCCCTTTTGCTGGCTTTTACATTTAACTTTTGCTCTTTCTTTTTTTAAAAGTTTCTTTTCAAGGGATTTTATTAATTTCTAGATTTCACACCAAATTGAATAAGTACAGGAGATATATCAAAGTTTACAAATTAAAGATCTTTGAAACAAAAAGGTATAAATCAATGATGAGGAGGAAAGGTTGCATATGTGTTCATTAAACAGGTTGATTATCTGGGTGAAGAATGGCAAATGAACATGATAACTTTTAAACTTGCAGAAAATTTACTTACATTAATAAAGGTTTTAATACACTGCCATTTTGAAGCAAAGTTAAAAACATCTACTTCATAACTTGAAAGAAGTGAAAGAATTGCAAAAAAGGGAGAGAGAGGAATGAAAGGAGGATTGAGAAAAGGTAAAGAGGGCAAGGTCAAAGAAAAGAGGTTGGGGGAAGGAAGAGGAGAGGAGTAGGGGTGAGAGAAAATGCTTTGGAATTTCACTGTTGATAAGAAGCCATTCTAAGAGACATTTCAAGAAAAAAAGTTATGTAAAAATAAGACATTGTCCAAATGATATATGAGGTATAAGTACATAAACTGTTTTCTTTTTCAGTTAACTATGGAGTTTTCACAAAGGAATATTTAGCACAAACTCACAATTGTTAGAAAAAATACGCAACACAAAAACAAGGAGATAATTTTTGTTTTTGTTTTGACAAGAGACAATTTCAAACACGCATGTGAAGAATAGAAAATGGATTTACAAATGACTTGCGTATATCTTGAAAAAAATTTTTTTTTTTTTTAAAGACAGACATTTTCCACTTTATAAACTTTAAATGGCTTTTACAAAAACAAGTTACTTTGCAATGACGTAATTGTTTTTTCATGTTTGTATCCATGCATAGAGATGAACTTTGCTTCATTTCCAATGCTAAAGCACTGTATACTTTCCCCACATCCAAAATGTCAGTTACTCTGCAAATCAACAAAGAAGTAGCAAAAAGTTATATTTGTCTAAAATCTGATCAGTTACATATGAAATCTAAAAGAACGCATTTAGTATCTATGAAGAGCCAAGAAGAAAGTGATGAGATGCTGAATTGAGATGTAATCCCAAACCCAATTGCATTTTGTTGCTGCTTCTTGTTAACAGAGTTCACCAAGCATTTAATTGTAGAGGGGGGGGGGGTCTTTAGAAGATGAGGTGTATCTTCTGAATTTATCTTTCAACAATCTTCATTAATCAATGTTAGAAAATATAAATTAATATAGTCAAGTGTAAAAAATGATAATGGGAGGAATTTCAGAGGAGAATTTCTCACACACTTGATAGGACATGCTTCAGGAAGGTCAATTCTAAAAATGATGAATGAGATATTGTTTCTTGGTTATTTTAGCAAGAATGGTATTGCTGTTGTGGGTCAAGTCAGATATATGGCTATTTCTATCAAAAGATGGATCATAAGTTATTGTTTTCTTTTCAAATATTAAACCTTTTTAGTGATCCTGCATCTTTTCTCATAACATTATAGCAAGGGAAATTATTATTACTACAGCAAATTATTATATGAAGAATTATTACTATGGGAAATTATTTAATTGATAGCACTTTTCTTAGTATATGGGATGTTCCTCGTAGGGCAATTTTCTGGGCAACTTGTATGTTGATGTCACATGGGACACCATTAGTAAAATTGCCCATTCCTTTTCTCACAAAGCACAGGGCTCTGATTACCATTGGTACAGTCTCAGTCTTCATTCCCCACATCCTGTTAATCTCGATCGCCAAGTCCTTGTATTTGGACAATTTCTTGATAATTTTTATGGACGTGTTTCTCTCTTATTATTATTACTAAGGAGAATTATTATGTACATGTGGAGATTTGTACATCTGCATTTAATCTGATTTGTGTCATGCATCTACTATTGTTGCTATTACTATATAGCCATCCAGAACCTGGTCTACAGGTGTTGGAATATTAATTTAACCAGTGTTACCTATATTGATCACATCAAACATGTGCAACAGTAATGGCCATCCAGCAGATCTAAGGCCCACAGTCTGACCACTCTTGGGCAGTTCTAATTGAACAAAAGGAACATATATGTATCACCATTGAATACCACATGCTTGCACCCCACTGAATCTTATCACAGCATGTGCTGTCATCATCTAAAGCTAAGGCACAAATGGTACACTAGTGATACTATGTAAGTAGACAGATGAAGATATTGAAAATCTTATCAGAATATCTGCCCATTAACATGCAGCTCAAAATGTGTATTATCTTTCAAAGAATTGGAATTTTAATGTGTGTGTGTTTTTTTATACTTTTCTCTTTGAAGTAGATAATATTTTTAATTTTGTTTCAAAATGGCAGAGTTTAGACTTTATTTACATTTCTGACAAACTTGCCAGGCACTTTAATTCTGTGTATATGTGCTTTATAAGGTTTTTTTTTTCCCTTTAACACTTATTTCAGAATGTATTGTGGCTAACACCTGACTCTGGTTAGCCAATGAAAATGACATACACCATTATAACCTGAACCATTACCTCTACAAAAATACCTAATAAGTTTGACATAAGATGTCTGAAATGATTTTAACCAAATTGAAGTATCTATTTGGTGCTTGTGTTCTGGCAATAAGCAAGAGAACTCCACTTTTACTTTTAACTAAGAATGTAACTTTATTGGCAAAAAACTATGTAATATGTTATTTTTGACTATGCCTCACCTGACCCCTGAACTTCCAATAGGAATTATTTGAAAGATAAATATACTTTCCTTTTCTGTGTCATATGGATACTCAAAAATTAAGAAAAAAAAAAAAAAAAACAATTGGAGAAATATGTATAGTTTCTGTTTATCAATAAGTATCCTATAAAATAAATTGTTTTATAACTTATTTTCACAAATTTTTCTTGAATGAAAAAATTCTGAGTTTGAAACATAGCTGAATTTCAAAAATTATTTACAACCGCTATAATGATATAAAACATTATCATGAAAGCTCTAAAGAACACCGATTACAAACTTCTTTCTCAGAATGTAACATGAAAGACTTTATGCGCTTGAAAGAACATAAAAGAAGCTGAATTAGTAGATAGCTTGAGAGTAAACTATTGTAGATATCCTATGTAGCTTGACAAATTATCAAGTCTTAAACTATTTCACTCAAGATTAACTATTAAAAAGGCTACATCCTCTTTTGAATGCAGCTAGAATCAAACTCTTCTCATTATTATTTTCTGTAACCCCTTGCTTGGGGTGAAACGCTTAAAAAAAAAAAAAAAAATATATAAATAAACAAACAAACATATATATATATATATATATATATATATATATATATATATATATATATATATATAATGCATTCTGGTTAGCAGTGAAGAAAGTGGCCAGGCAAGAGAAGCACCAAAACAAGCTTTCATAATCTTTTATGCACAGATGGTGAAATTTTCAATAGATCAAGAAATATGGTTTTAATAAGATGTTGATCATTGGATAACCTATAAAGGTCAATAAATATCAGAGCATAATTTGTCATATTGTTGAAATAATTGATTGCAAATCTGCTGTATGAAAATTGTTTTTTATCATCATTATTACAAGACAATTTTTTTTGCATTTTTATGTATTCTGTACAGGTTAGAATTTTAGGCAGATTTGATGACAGATCCTCAAAAATATTGTTGTATCTAATCAGACAGATAAAAAAAAGCTAAAAGGGATGTTTATTGAATGGAAGGAGAGTGATTATTCTTTTTTAAATTGTTTTCATCATATTTTTCATGTTATTGAAGCATTCTCCTCTACATTGGCACATTTACCTTACAACAGCCACCAAAACGGTTTGTACATATGCCAGTAAAGACAGAGCTCACAAGGTTGATGCAACACTATGGTACTATAACTCACTGACCTCACTTGTTATAAACAAGTCCTCAGGTATTAAATTTATCAATAAACTATCTTCTCTCATGGGGTATCTGATAAATCAGCATTTAAAAAAAAAAAAAAAAAAAAAAAAATCATTTGAAGTTTTTCCAGACATCCTTCTCAAATGGCTCACATGTATTCAATAGCATACAGGTTGCTTAATAGCATTTTGCATTTGTAATTTCAAATACTTTTTGTTGCATAGCATAAAGCAATATTATGTTTTTGATGAGATGCCTATTAATCCAAACAATCAGTAGAATATTTTCTATACTCTTCAAAAGAAGAACAAGAATTTAAATTACTCTTCATTTCATAACCAAAAAGCTGTCATATTTGATAGTGAAGCACAAGCAAAATCCAAACAAAGACTTTGGTGAGACAATTTTCATATTCCATCCCTTACTGGAAATTAAGTTAATAAAATCTCAGTGAAAAGTTGATAATCTATCAAAATTCAAAGTTGTCTGAATGTTGACTGCTTTAAAAATGTGGTTTCATTTAGGTTGCTTTTCTGCAGATAATTAACATACTATTTTATGACAGATTTTAGTTTTGCAATTGTCTATTTTATTACACCTTTTTATTTCCATTTCTTAAGGTTTTTCAGTGAAAAAGTGGAATTAAGTGTCTGTTTAGTTATTTCACTTGTATTTTTCATGAGTAATTGTCAATAATTCTATCTGTATTGTCAATTCTGAGTCAAATAATGTAATATCGTGTGTGTGTGCACAATTTCCAAAGTATTTTTTGACAAAATCAAGTCTGACACAAGGTAACATTTATAAATTAAAAAAAAAAAAAATACCAAACAAACAATTATGAAACAAGTGAACATACCGTACAAAAGGGGCAGCATCCTTCAAGACACCTTTGAATGTGTCCATGTAAATCTTGGCCTGTTTCTTTTTACAATTTTGTACCACATCATTGCACAAGTAGAACAAAGTAAGGCGATGTGCGGTTTTCCCTGAAGAATGACAAAAAAAAATAAATAAGTTAGTTTTTAATTGATATCATCACTAATGACAAGAAAAAAAAAAAAACAAGTTCTAACTTATCATTTATTGTCAAGCCATTTGCTTGATCAAATCAACAAACCCGATATAATAATTATCATTATTTATTTATTTATATCTCACATGTCACACTCTTTAATTAGATAGGAAAATTAAATAAAATGTTAAGTAACTTTTGTTGGTCTGAAACCAAGCCAACACCCACGAGGTGGTGGTGAAAAACCTTTGGTTTAACTCTTTTCCTAAAATCAATACTATATAATAATTTACATGGTGTTTTTTTTTTGTTGTTTTTTTTAATTATAAGACAAAATTAATAATGCCTATAATTGCTTCAATAATGAGGGATTTCTTTTAAATAAAGGGTCATAAAATGGTGTACTGATGATACTGTTTAAATTTTTTTTTATACCTGCTGACTCATATAGTGAACACAGTAAATATATTATAAACCCTTTAATGACTGGTGCATATCATATATAAAGGTGCAAAGTATGTCAATAGCCCTATAATGCCTATTCTATCATATAGGAGTACATAAAAAGAAGAAAGGTTTAATCACTGACTATTGTAAAACAGTCTTCATTTTTTATGGTACAGGTATACTATTTATATATACATGTATGTCTTTCATGCCACACCTTCAGTTATGAGATAGTGAAAAATTAGTAATACTCTTAATTACAGAATTTCTTTTAATTAAAAATATTTACCAAATTTAAAATGAACTTTTCTGGCAGTCTTTATTGGATTATGTAAATAGTATAGATACAAGATAACTACATTCCAAAAGTTTGAGACATTTTTTTAAAGGAGAGGCAGTTATAACTGTTCTAAATTATTGTACCTTTAATATATCATTATTATGCATCTAATAAGATGACCTGCTAAATTTTGTTATTCTAGATTGAAGGAGATGGCTGTAACAGCTCTTTGAACACACCCTACTAAAAACTGTTTTTCACAGCTGACTAGTTTGTAGAATGCAGTCAGGACGTGAAGACAATTTGGAATCTCGTTATGCAATAAGATTTTATGTTAAAATTGGCAAAAACACTACAGAAACTTATTAAATGCTCTAGATTGCTTATAGATTAACTTATATCAGCTGAGCATCTGTTTCTTGCTGGCACAAGGACAGTAGTGTGGAGGTAAGAGATGATGAGGGAGAGAAACATCAGAACATGAAAGATGGTTAAGAAAATTTGCAATTTTCTGGATGAAGACAATTGCGAATCTATAAATACATAGAGTTTGGCAACTGTACACAGAATTAATCAGAAAGATCTGAATATGTGCAAATTTTGTTTCCAGGGTTTTCAATGATGAACACAAGAAAAGACATGTTGGTGACAGCAGGGAGATGGTTCAGGTCATTACCTCTAATCCAAGAGTACTCGTGTCTCTGGGGGCCCTTGACCAAAGTTGGATCTACTGTTATGATCCAGAAACATAGGGTCCAATGGAAGCATCCCAACTACCCCAAACCTGAGAAGGTCAGGCAAAGCAAATCCACCAGAAAGTTCATGATGATCCCATTTTTCTACAGCATAGGCATCATCTACATCTGCTGTGTTCCCTCTGGCCAGACGGTCAAGAAAGAGTACTTTGTGGAGCTTTTGAGAAAGTTCAGAAAGAGATTTTGTTGCAAAAGGCCAAAGTTCTTCCACTAGAATCAGTGATACCAAAACCAGGACAATGTACCAATCCACAATTCCATCCTGGTAAACAACTACTTGACAGAGATGGGCATCAAAATTGTCCCTCACCCCCTTACACACATGACAATCCCAACCTTGCTCCCTGTGACTTTTGGTTATTCTCCAAGATGAAGAAGAACTCCAGGGACAGTCATTTTGAAGACATTGAGAAGATGAAGGAGGCTGTGACACAGATCCTGGACACCTTTACTTTGCATGACTTTCATGGAGCTTTTATGAAGTAGCCAGAGGGCTGCAACAAGTGCATTGAAGTCAAAGGATCCTACTTTGAAGGTGACTAGAATTTTGTACTTCTTTGAAATTAATAAATGTCTCTCCTGAAAAAGTCTCTAAACTTTTGAAATGCACCTCATACATTCAATTTGTTGAGAAAAATTTATATTTGTTTTAAATGTTGAATCGTATCTAAGATTCATTGATTATTCTTGGCATTATATAAATTGCTTTTTGCTCAATAGCTTTTCATGTTCAAACATTTGTGTGTTTAATATAGCAGTAACTCAAAATGGAAACACCCCCACAAAAGAAAAAAAGATAGCAACAACAAAGACTATCTCAAGACCAATAGACAAAGGTATCTGAGTTCCTTACAAGAAGGACTTGAACAAATAAGACTACAATCTAAGGAACGTAGTAGTAATGGAATGGGTTAATTAAACAGTTCATTGGACTATTTTAGCTGGGAGTTGTAGATCTCCACTTTATTGAATCAATACAATGTTTCAAATCTTTTCTTTCATTGTATCTCAGTATTAGAAATTTCAAAATTGCCACCATTTTTTGACAGCACAAATACACTCGTTTAATGATTAAAACCAGAAACTTCTGTCTCCTTGCAATAGTCAAGAAGGTTCAGTGTGAAGATTAACAATGTAGTTTCTTTGATTTTATTTGAAAATATGTACTAGTTAAATGTTAAATTTTTCTATATGCTACCTTTTATATTTCATCAAGTATTTTAATGTTTCCATACGATAGTTTTGGCAATAAAAGTAAAGGAAAGCTTAAATCAACTGTTACAAGTCCATGAGTAACAAGTTACCAAGACTACTTATAAATTTTGGTTAACTGACTATAGCAGTGAGAACATGTAAAAATAATCTAAGTGATGGACTATCAGATAATATGAATTTCAAAATTAATAAAACTTATTTTAACTTTCTTTACATTGCAAAGAAACAGTGGATTTAAGATTTTTACAGCAAGTTATTCAAACATACACTTTAACTCAAAAGTAGTAATTACAAATGTATTATAATAATAATAATAATTCTGGTTGTTTGGACAATTGATCCCATAATTCAGGAGATCATTGGGGTGCCACAGTGATGCATTTATACTTTTTTGTACCGATTCCCATTTCAAGTCAAGTGAAACAAGTAAGAGTGAATTACATGATAGCAACTACAATGAACAATCTCTGACCCAAGTGCAATTAAGAGTTTAAACAAGCACTCCAGATGGATTAAATGGTGCCATACAATCAATGACATTTGGATGGATGGATGGAAATCTCTTGTACACCAAAATACCCACGAGAGTAATTAGATCAGTTTATCTAGATGCAAAAATGTTCAAATATGATTGTTTCTTGTTTTTCTTAGAAGTGAAGATACTTTTAAAAAATCCCTAAACACTTAAGGATCATGTAACACTAACATTTCTTTGGAGGAATTTGTTTAAAGAGGTCACGAGGAGGTTTACCTCCCTTTAAAAAAAAAAAAAAAATTAAAAAAATAGCACCAACAAGGTCATTTTGGAAACATATATGCTTAAAATCTTCAAAGTGATTGTTCTGAACATTTAAATACTTGCTGTACAAGAGGGGGGGGGGGGACATAAAAAAGGAATTCAAGGCTCACGTCGTCGTCATCGTTAGAGAATGAAACCTGAATAAGATTTTGCAAAAACACTAAGAATTTAAAAGAGGAAAATGTTTAGAATGTTTATTTTATTTTTTTTTTTTTGGGAGTGGGGATGAGAGTGTCTTTGTTTGTGGATGTTCTTACAGATAGTAAGCGCCATAACAGGTGACAGTTTTTGTGCTGAAAAAAGGATTCCACTTGAGAGAAATGTAATTTGTAAATTCTTCTGAGCAGGAATTTGCTTGAATCAGATTTAATTGCTAAAGGAATAAATCTTTTAAGACAAATATTTTATATATTCTCTATCTCTTGGTGTTTCAAAGTGTTGGCATATATAACAAGTCATAAGCTAAAGAAAAAAGCTCGGATTACCAAAATTATGAAAGGTTTTAATGCATTTGTTTTTGCCCAAATGTTGATGAGCTAACAGTTGCTACATTTTGTATAAAAGCAGGAGACCTGAAACTGTTCTTGACATTTTGTCTTGAGAAGTGGTAAACTAGAGTAAAGTTCTCCTCTTATCTGTGTACCTCTTGGAAAAGAAATTTTTTTTTTTTTTACTGATAATATAAATCTTTTGTTTTTTTACAGCTAAAATATGAAAAAAATAATTCAACATAACAGCACAGGCAAATGACTGAGTTTTATTTCATTACAGATTTTATTATCTTAACAAGTGGTATAGTTTGGAAAAAGATTGAGTATATATGCAAAGATAGGTTAATTGACTAAATGCATATATATTCCTAAAATGGAAAAGCTATAAAACAAATACAAGTCAGATGGGGAGGGTGGTTGATACAGCTGAACTGTGTGAATAAAACCATACAGATGTTTTGTCATAAATTATGAGATTACAAGATCTCTGCCACCCACAAATATCAGGTTCAATTCTTGATTATAAGTTGGGAATGATGAACAGAATTTGGTTGGACAAAAGGTGGAATGAATATATCGAAGCAAAAAGTGACCATTTCTACACATAAAAAGAATGTTTTTTTTTTTTCTAACTTTTATAACCTTGCTTAAAATGACTTCTTCAGTTTTGTTTTTTTTTCCCCCTGATGCTTTCATCCAAATTGGAAAATAATATTTTACCTATCCATGTTTGGCAGACAAGTTATGACTAATCATTGGCTGTAGTTTGAATTACTGAACATTTTATTTTTATTTTTTTTATTCAACTTTAGAATTATTTCATGTTCCTTTTATCAATTCAATATTTGGTCATGCAGAAGTTAAGCACATTTGATGGATGATCCAAAAATCAGCAGCAACTACAAAACTTTAAATACAGCACAGTGTTGCTAAAACTTGATGTATTCATAGAACATACTAAATGCCCAATGACCCAGATAATGCTAC